GTACGGCGCGGCTTAAACATCTACCGTGACTCCGACGTTGGTGCAGATTCCAGGCCGCCTGTCAACAATGCTCGCGGTCAGAAAGTCTGCCTTCGTCCCATGCGCGTCAAGCCGCAGCTGTTGACCGGTAAGCAACCTGCGGCTGATGGGGACGAAAACACTAAATAGGCACCATACCTTGAGGGTAAGGAGAGCATCCGAGTTCGGCACGAACTCGAGACCTTCTTCGATGGTGGAGGTCGCCTTAGGGATGTCCCCGGCCTGGGCGAAAAAAAAAAAAAAACGGGACTGTTGTTATTGGTCTTCACATTAAAAACCGACTGTTGTTTTTGTTGTTGCTGCTGTTGTCTTCACATTAAAAAACGTTCCGATCTCCCCTACCCAGTACACCTTCATGTGTCCGTACTGATCAAACACTTCACCGAGCGATTCCCGTGGTCACAGGCTAACGTATTGGGTGAAAAAAAAAAAAATGGTGTGAGACCAACGAACGCATACGGCGCCCCCACCACACAGGTGAAGAACTCGAGGGGGCTGCAACAAAAAACTGACCCGTCATTAGGTAGATGACTCGACCTGCGTACATCGTGCCTGAATCGTGGGGGGGAAACGTACAAGGCTACGCCGGGACAAAGAGTGAATAAAAATACCAGCGTTACCTCAACGAGACCATTCGCAAGTTTCTGAGAACCTCGACACATGGTTGGAACGGGAAACGTCCATTTCGCCACGATTTGGACAACTTCAATAACTTGTTTGACAAAAAAACAGCCTCTCTCAACTTACGTCTCTTACTACAATACATGGAGGGGTGGACGGGAAATAGTCGCTCTTGGTTCTCGGCAAAGGAGGCAACGCACGCAAGATTCATGGAGGCAAAATCAGCGCATTCTTCTGCGGTGGCGCCAACCGCATGTATCAAGCAGACGGCGCGTGGCTGTTAAAGAACGGCAAACCAATCAACGGGGGGCGGGGTGTTAAAACACCCCCCTGTATGCACCCACATGAATGTATTTTCTGTTCCGTGGGGCGAGAAGCCGTCCCGTCAACCCTGCTACGGTCAAGCGGGCTGCTTCGCGTAACTGCCAGCTCTACTACAGAGCTGTGCCGTCCCGGGTACCATGGAATGCTAACCCGTCTCGCCAAAGCGCTTCCGCGGAAGAGTCGTTCCAACATAACCGCCCCACATCGTCCAGATACCATGCACCGTGAACCCGTCCCGCCAAAACCCTTCCGCGCAAAACCCGTTCCAGAAGGGCCGCCGTTCCGTTTATCACTACTGCTCCGTCCGTGGGGACGCACCTGTACGTGGATCCTGCAAAGCTGCTCCCACGCAAAGGCGTCCTCGCTGTTGAGCTCGATGGCCTTGCGCAGGAAGGACCGGACTTGCTCCGCCCCGTCCTTTTCGGAGTCCAGCTGGGGCGGCGAGGCACGTAGCACAGCGAATGATGTTGTTGGTGTTGTTGATATCGCTTCCCATAAAACAAAAACAATAAATAGTTAACACATCCGCAATATTATTATTATGCGTCTCAGTGATTAAACCTACGATACGTACATTGCTGTTGATATTTGTTGTCGTTGCGTTGACTGGCGAGTGTTGCTTTGTTGCTATGATATCATCGCGCACAATTGCGGTGTATCCCCAATCGGTAAGTCGCATGGGTGTCAACAGCCAATAGTTCCGCTGTGAAAAGGTGCGAGGCTGCCGCACCAACGTGCCTCACGCAACACACAACACGACCAGTCTACACATGACACACAGCCTACCTCTGTCACTAAAAACCTGTTCCCAGCAACAACAACAAAAACGAAAAAAAAGAACAAGGACGGGCGCAAACGCGCGGTCGGGCCCTGAGGAACAAAAACGCTTCCTTAGCCCTGAAAGGGAAGGGGTGCCCGTTAAATCCCCCCTCCTTGTTGGCTGAAACCTGGACGACTTTCCGCCCAGGCTACCTACGGCCAACTGCCTCCCATATACTAAACAGCACCTTCCGATGTTGTACTATCTCTTACCCTTTGTACAACCCCCCGGTCGTCCGGTACACATAAACTTTCCCGGCATCCCGTCCCCCTTTCTCCCACACCTCTCCCGTTTTCTCCACTCTCCTGTGCTTCTTGACCCTCTCCCTCCGACACGTTCCCCCTCCAACTTTCCCCAGCATGCGTCTCCCCTTCATTCCATACTCAACCGGTGCCCCCTTCCCTTCTTCGCACACCCCTCCCAATGCTTCCTCAACCCCTCGTATGCGTCTCGACAGCGCTCTATACCCAACACGCTTTCAGTCCACTCACCCTGCTCTGTGAGCGAAGGAGCTGCCATACCTCCAATGCTCCCTCCTCCCCCCCACACACTTTTCCCCCACTATATTAGGAAAAATAAATACAAACACGGAAAGACTACCCATTCGAGATAAGACCACAGTCTAGACGTCTCCCCTTCACTGTATACCAAACGCGCTTTCACTCACTCTCGCCCTGTGAGCGAAGGAGCTTCCATACCTCTAGTGCAGCCCCCCCCCCATTTCTCCCCAGTATACGTCTCCCCTTCTGTATGTACCCAACACGCTTTCAGTCGACTCACCCTTGCCCTGTGAGCAAAGGAGCTGCCATATTCTGGGTGGGCCTCACCGGCTCTCGCGAACAAATCCTTTGCCTGTGCATGCCCAGGACACACGACAAACGATGTAGGACAGAAGGAGGGGGGGTACTCATGTTTTGCAAGCCTTAGCGGTCAGACCATCGACCACGCGTCCTCGAGAGGACGGAGGATTGTTCCCACAGGACCGATCACTGATGGTCACTCAGTCCTTCCGATTCCGACTCTGCCAGCGGTGGCTAGAAGTACGGCGTGGGTGAGTGAACTTAGCACCCTTTGCATGCACAGAAATGCGAACGAATAAACCTACCGTACTCTTCGAGAGAAAACAAACCTTTGTGACGTGATGTCTGCCACCACCACGTAGCTGTGAGAACAAGAGCAAACACACCAACAAAACAAAACAAAACAAAACAAAACAAACACCAACAACACCAACTAACCGCATCCATGTCCTCCTTGTCCATGCAGACCCAGGCCATCTTGATGAGCACATCGGCGGGGTACTCTTCCCCCTCCGCCTCCATCTCCTCCCCGCAGCGCCGGTACGCCTCCATGGCCTCGTCCAGCTTCCCCGACAGCTGAAGGAACGTGCCCTGCCACTCCCAGACAGACGCCTTAACATGAGGCGGAACCTCGTCAGCGCCTGCTTGGGCGATGGATGGGGAGTGGGGACATCGGGTGGGTAGCAGGTGTCAATACCACATGCGGCGAAAGCATCAAATACTTGATATCAAGTATTTATGAAAGCAAAGTTTCCGGCAGGTTTCCTTCCACTCGCTGCGAAGACTTGAGCACATCCCTTTCGACGGTGGTTATATCCCGAACGGGTAGAGTCTCTCTGAGATTGTGTTTACCTCAAAAAAAAATAACCCCTTCATGCAAGTCGTAGCGAGAAAACGAGGAGATTGTCGTGACAAAAAAGTACAACCACCTAGCCGCGTACCGTTTGCGTTTGCCCTTAGGTTAGCGGGGCCAAGGGCCATCACCACGAGGCTATCGTCTACGGTTTGAACTGTGTTCCTCGAGGCATATGGGAGTTGAAACAGGATTGGTTTTCTCCCCAAAAATTATCCGTGCCTTTCGTCCTGTTGCGTCCCCAAAACCAAAAAACACCCAGTTTCCAAACAAAACACACACACACATATTGTGGCCTTGTTCGTTTGAAATGTTTGTGCGAGGGAATCCTACAGACAGTTCCGGTGAATCATGATTAATAAATATCATTGACTCGACATGAGCGGCGATGCAGCCCGCAGCTATCTCCGAGCAGAACAAAAAACTGTGCCGGGAAGATCGAAAAACCCGCTTGAACAAAAAAAAACGCCAAAACTGAAAAATTATTATTTTCAGTTTCCGTCCATGTCCAACTTCCGAAGAGCGAGAGAGAAGAAAGAAAAGATTCACTACCCGCGATTTCCCTCTTTTCCGGACCCCTAACGGCAACCAAGGGAATCGTCCACAAAAAATGCCCCCAACCCAGTCACCCTCATGATCCAATCCACGGCACCCCTGTGTGCATGCTTTCTCACCTGCTTCAGATGGATCGGCTTCGGTGAGGGTGGAAAGAAGCTCTGCAGCCTCGAAAATGTCCTGGGTTCCCAGCAAGAAACGTAACGCCGGGTGGGGTGGGGGTGGGGGCAGCAAAGTTGATGAGAAACGTGACAAATCTAAAAAATTGTGGGACCGTCACCACAAAACCAGTCACATGGCAACACCATGCGAAACGACATCAATTGGGCAAACATGGTGCGAGTGTGCTGCTAGATGAGCAACACACGGCAGCGCGACAGACGATACCACACGCATGCCACGAGAGCAAAAAACATGGACACAACTCTACAGCAGTAGGGGGCATGCGAAAAACCTGTGACTGCCCCGTCCAGCTGGTGGGATGATCCAGAGAAGAAAACGTGACACCGACGGCGTCGGTCCATACACGGGGGGGGGGGGTCCCTCTAAAGTGCCGGTATGTGCCCGTCAGACTCACCGGTACTTATGCCGGCACCCGACGCTACTCTTGCGAATGACACAACTTTAAAACAGTGTAGGTGACGCAAGATATCATACCCCCTGGACCGATGTTCAAAGCTCGATTTCTCCACGGCAGAAAAAAGGTGGCAGTGTATGAGATGGCGGAGTTGGAGCAGTCTCGTCGACAGCTTCCCGAACACGAATCGTTTCATTTGTTGAGCGACGTGTTCCGGGGTGGGGGGGGGGGGGGGGGGGGGCCCCCCCCAAAAAACCCCCCGGGTTTTGGGGGAAAAAAAAAAAAAAAAAAGTTTTTAATTCCGGCCCGGGGGGGGGTTTTTTAAGAAGGGCCCCCAACCGGGCATAAAATTTTTGGG